TTCTGAAGTGTTCTTGACAATTTTTGCTTTATTAGAGGATAATACTTAGTAAGTTTGAAGTAGGTAACATATTAATTAAACTTCAAATGAGTCTATGCAAACCACTCCTTCGCATTTCCATGAAGGGAAAAGCCAAGTTTCCTCCTACAGAGAATGAGTAGTGAGAATGGATTTCTTTCTTTCTTTCTTTTTTTGAGAGTGTAGATTTTGACATCCTCTTTTTAAAATATGGAGCTCTAACAGAGACAGAATAATCCACTGAAAAGAAGATTTAACTCTTCTATTTATTATGGCATATTTACCAGAAAAAATTTCTTACCTAAGAGAGTATCAAAAAGAATTCTAAAAATGCTAACACCATATCTGAACTAAACAAATACATATTTATAATCAATTATTAATTTGGGTCAGGAAAATTAGTCTGATACTAAAGCCATGCAACTGGGGGAAGGCTGGGTGGCTCAGTCATAATCTCACAGTTCTTGGGTTCAAGCCCCACATCGGTCGGACTCTGTGCTGACAGCTTAGAGCCTGGAGCCTGCTTCAGATTCTGTGTCTCCCTCTCTCTCTGCCCCTCCCTTGCTCATGCTCACTCGCTTTCTCTCTCTCTCTCTCTCTCTCTCTCTCAAAAATAAAAAAAAAATAAAAAATAAAGCTATGCAACTGTGGAAAGCAGTTAATGCACAGTGCGATAATACATTTGAACAACATTGCTGGATTTAAACCAGTTAGTTAGTGGAGATGGTCAGGAAATCCCATATTTTGATGTGAGATATCCTGAAGACCAATCATGAATGCTTAATTAAGGCCACATATTAGTTCTCCCTCATGAAACTTCGATTAAAACTGTCACAGTATATTTTTCAAAAAGTGAAAATGTGGCTTTTGTGAATCAGCATTTGTCAAGAAGTTCCTTAACTCACTAGTGAGAGTACCAGGAAGATGGCAACCTGGTTTCAAGAGCATTTGAGAATACCATAATAAAAAGCATTAAAAAAAGAACATTTGAAGGATATCGATCACATAGCCAGCCAGCTAAGTATACTACACTGGATACAGAACAATAAAGCTGTAACCTCTGTGGTTACGTGTCTACAGATATCATTTGCATCTTTACTGGGACAAAAATCGTTTACAGCTTACCAATCTTCTACAAGTTAACAAGACTGGGCCTAATTAATATTAAATATTTTTTTTAAAAAACCCTATGTTCTATAGAATTTGATAAACCTTGAATGGGCCTGTTTGAAAATGCTCCGGTATGACATTGATAAGATCTGTAATCACTTTTTTACCTGAATTCTAAGTCTTAGATAGTTTTTCTGCACAAAGGGAATACCTTCTAAGGTCAAGTATATTATTCTTAATATTAATTTTGCAGGGAAGATATCCTTTAAGTACCTATGAAAGTGTCCTTATAGAAGTACAGTTTTGTGGCAATACATGTTCAGTGTTCTTGACCATGGAATCCCCAAGTATGTCTTTTAAAGAGTAACGTGCAGAGCTGGATAATTTATCCCAGATTTGTCCGATTATTTGAAGGTCCTTTGTCCTTACATTTCCTCTGTCCTTAAATTTCCAAGACTAACTAAATATTTCATCAAGATTATTTTAAGGAGTAAGTTAGAAAGCCAAATGTAAAACATGGTGGATCTCAGTAACACTTGTGATTTTGAGCCGTCTGTAGTGTTCCCATTTACTAGATGGCTACTTTATTTTAGGTTTCACTGTAACTTGTAAAAGAGGCTGAGGAATTATCTTGAGAAGTTTTTCTTTAGTATTTCTCCTTAAATTATTCTTCATAATTCTCAAAACCAAGACTGAGGTGAGGGTCTGTCAGAATGAGTTTTACAAAGTTTACATTAGAAGAGAACAGATGGAAGATAGAAAACAAGTATTTTAGAAGAGTAAATCATTACTCCTATTGTAGAACTATAGAAATGGAGGAACTGAGAAACTAACTAGGTCTGACCAAATGTGTTATAGGATCCTCACACATCTGTCTAATATGTTGACTCATCCAGCTCATTTGTTCATATCTGAACGTCCTGAGACACTGCCAAGAGTGAAGGGTTTACGTGTTTATCCCACTGACTTCCCACCCTGCCCTTCCCCATTCATTAATACTACCGTGGTCTAGCTGTGCTTTCTCTGAGCATTCCTTGGAGCCAGGGAGTTCTTAGGGGGTCCTCGGGGACTAGGGACCTAGGGACCTAAGGATGCCCCTTGCCACCAAATCCAGAGAATCTCGGCTTGTAGTTGCTATTTCCATGCCTGGAATACTCTTTCTCCTGAAATGCACAGGGCTCATGCATCATTCCACTCAGGTTTCTTCCAAAGGTCACTTTCTCCGAGAGGCTTTTTCTGCATCACTCAGTCTATGCCACCACCATTCCCAACCCTGTCCATCTCTGGTCTTTCTCTCTCTGCCAGCCTCTCTCTGGTCTCCTTTACAGCACTTACTGCCACCTGGCATCAGGGTATCAGTGTATTTGCTTGTTCATCCACTGCCCATGTGCTCTGTCCCCTATGAGAAATGACATTCCAGAAAGGACAGGAATTCTGCTTAGTTCAGTACTATATGTTCAGAGAGTAGAAAAACTTGGCACATCATAGGCACAACTATTTGTTTATGAGTAAGTGAAGACATTGAGATTACATCTAAGATTACACTTTTGCAATGTTCAGCTACTGGTGGGCTCTACCCTTAGACCCAGGTATTTCTCTGGGCTTATAGCTAGCATCACTGACTTCAGCCCCTCTTCCATTCTTTGTTTTCTAAACACTACCATGTCCTGATCTTCTATATCCCACTTGGTTCATGTCACTTCTCAGCTCAGAGTTTTTTCTTCTGTGACACCTCACTGCCTTCAAAATATAGTCAAGGGCCTTACAGCTGACATTTACTGCCTACCAAAATTTATCTCAAATGCTTCCCAGCATTAATTCCCAGTGTTTTTCAACACTAATTTCCTAAACAATTTTCTTTTTTCTCCTTTATGCGTTTATTTGTTCAGCCTTCAAAGACTCACTTAGATACTCTCTCTGTTGAGATGCTTTCCATGACCACATTGATGGAAAATATCCCCCTCCAGAGTAATTGATTGGCCTTATTCTGTTGGCATGTGTCACATTCTGACTTGTATAACAAGTGTTTGTACATACATCTCATTTTATTTACTAGCGTAAATATCTTCAGAATGAGAACACTTATCCACTTAGCAAAGTAAACAATTACTGAGCAATCATTGGAAAATGGATAAAAGAATGAGGAATTTTGTTTTACTTGTGCAAATCCCCAGTAAAATCTATTCCCCTGTCTCTGGCCTAGATTTATCTTATTCAGATGCTCATAAAAAGCAACTAATTAATAACAAACAAGCCAAGTATGTCTCAAGTATAAGATGTACACACAGGAGAACCATTTCTAGCTAATTTGGTTATGGTAGCTTTGGGACTGAGTCAGCCAGGAGTCAAGAGACTGAAAACCTGACTGTGACTTTCAATCAAATTATCAGATTCAGCCCAAGGAAAGCACAACAAAGAAAAACACAATGTTTCCTAGAGTATGAAAATAAAAACTCTGTTTTTTTCCTGTGCTATTTAGATAAAAGCAGAAGTTTGGTATTGGTTGGTTTGTTTTAAATGTGCTACTTAAAAATCATTGGTTAGCACTAACTCATGTCTATAGGCAAGCTTTTTTTTTTTAACTTTTCATTTTTATATTGAGGTGTAATTGGCATATGAGAAACCATACATATTTGAAACATACAGTTTCATAAATTTTGATGACTATAATATTCCCACAAAAACATCACCACAATTAAGATAATGAACATATCTATCACCCTCAAAATTATAGGCAAAATTAAAAATTATTCTATTTAAATAACATACAGTATTTCTATATGTTTTTATCAATTCAAATGCATTAATAGATTCATGTAATCACCACCACAATCAGGATATAGAACATTTCCAAAAAATGGGGCACCTGGCTGGCTCAGTTAAGTGATCAACTCTTGATCTAGACTCAGGTTGTGATCTCGTGTTGGTGAGATTGAGTCCTGCATCAGACTCTGTGCTGACAGCACTGAGCCTGCTTGGGATTCTCTCTCTCCCTCTCTCTCTGCCTCTCCCAACTGGTGCAAGCTCACTCATTCTCTCTCTCTCTCAAAAATAAATAAATATTTAAAAAAAGAACATTTCCAAATAACCTCCCTTATTTTATTCCTCAGTCCTCACATTCTCCTTTCCACTACCACTAATCTCTAACAACTACTTATCTGTTAGTTATCTCTTTCATTTGGTCTTTTCTACAATGTCCTATAAATGGAATCAAAGTATGTACCCTCTGAAGATACACTTCTCTCACTCAGTATAATGCCTTTGATGTTCATACCTGTTGTTACTTTTTTATTAATAGTCTTTCTCTTTGTTTCCTTCCTTCCTTCCTTCCTTCCTTCCTTCCTTCC